ATAACTTTCCTTCACCTGAGAGGAGAAGAAAATGACAAAGAAACACTTCTACTTATTATTCTGCTGGTTCACAACACCACCAAATATTTAATTATAAAAAGAAGCAGGCAATATTCTCCCTGTCTAGTTAAAGGCGCTGACGATCAAAGTATCTTATGAAAGTTACCAGAAAGAACCATTCTGCTTTTCACTGAGCACAACTGCATGAGCTAAATGATTCTAAAAACCTAATCAATGCATTATTTTTTATTAGGAGGAATTTGAATTATATATTATTTCCTTTGGACTTCATAACATACCTGTCCCCACCCTACTTACCTCGTGTGTGCTTCCTAACGCCACGAAAAGTAAACAGAAGTCAGTTTTGAAAACTAGATCTTATTGATGCACATTAGAAGGGCTGATATCACTTCTATAACGTGCCAAAAATAAAGATTTTAATGATGAAAAAGGTAATGTTAAGTAATTTCATTTCAAAAAATCAGCTTCCTCAGATGTTGATCACTTGAGAAGTATGTCTGTCTAGTACCAGAAATGAACAACAACAAAAAAAATCACCCCAAATCCTCTCATATCCAAAGTGACTAGTCCAAATTATCCAGACTCTAGCATTTATTTTCTACTCTCTGTATTCATGCCATTGATGTATTTCTAAGTATAAACACATATGTTATAGCAATATACTTACGGCAGCTGTGTTCTTCACTGCATTTCCTACAATCACCACAACTCTTCCTTTAAAGCTCTGGAGCGTGGCAGTTGCTGGGCACTGGACAAGATCCCCTTCTGCAGTAAATGCTGATGCAAATGGGACATTGATGCTGCCAGAAATGTGGCCACGGTTAAAGCTTAGGAAGATCAGTTAAGGACATTTGAAAGGTAGAGGAATCTGTGGTATGCACAGCTGTAGGATGAACCTGCTTTTCATCCTGGCTGTTGTGATACAACAGTGTTGGTCTTTTGTACTAGTGTATTTTGGCAAACTTCATTTACTATTTAGTCATATGGAGAAAATAACTTCTGACACTACATAGAAAAGAGGACAGAATGAAGAGTTGTTTGTTTCATACAGGACATACAGCACTATAGAAACTGATCTGCTAAATGAAACATTTGGCACTAAGGACCCAGTATCCACAGTATATGTATTTTTGTGGCTTTACTTCAAATCAGCTCTAGTCTGATAAAAGGAGCAATAAGCAGCTGGAGCACCTCTTCCTGAGGAATTTTATCCAAAAGGAATGAAGTAATTCCAATGAGAACCAAAACTAAATAGAGATTTACTGAAAATTTTCCTTAAACCTCCTGCCAACCCCCGCAAGTTCCCTACAATTTTGATCCAAACTGTACATGTACATGCACTTAGATTCCCAGACAATGAGCATTATGTGTATTATCTGCAGTCCCACTAACAGTGAGCACGTATTTGGTACTGAAAAGCAAACAACATACAAGTGCCAGCAACTCTCAGATAGTTAGTTGTGCTTCATTTTCAAAGGATGATCATTCAACGAGACTTGGTGAACAAATATTGAATGTGAAAGGCTCTTCAACAAAAATTAAGTTGGACCACTACTACCTAGCTTTTTATAAACTTGAAAATATGTCATGATCTTGAGAAACCTCTGAGTGACTTTCATAGAATGTACACACACATGGCTGGAACACTCCCCTTCCCCAAGAGTAAACAACAACAGCTTTGAAGAAATAGAAAACAGCAAAGCTCTGCAAAAATATACACAATATCAAATACCTACATTAGTCACTCTTTATTACTGTACTTGCAGAAAGCTAGTTTAATTTATAATTAAATCACAGAATCCTTTTTAATAAAGGAGCTGTCTTTAATGGAGGTAAGATTTAATTGAATCAGGTTAATATTAGCATTAATTTCTCTTCATTTACGATCATCATTGTTACAGTGTGGAAAAAACCATGGCTATATAAAAACATTTGGAAGTACAAAAGATGGTCACATACCATTCATTAATGTTGCCAGTTTGGTTCTGTTTTGCAGCAGAAAATTACAACACCCCTCCTTCACTAATCTGTGCCAGCTCCCTTTCCCCAAACCCATTTATAACCACATCACTCTCATTGCTACTAATCAGGGTAAAAGTTCTGAAACGACCATAATTTAGGGAGCAAATTATTTAGTTGCTCACAGTTATGCCACTGAGTATGCTTAACTGCTCAGAGAAATTTGACCTTATCTTTTAGAAAAGAAATACATTTGATATCAACTTTAGTACCAAACTAGATAGATCCAAACTGTATTTGCTGTCATTCACATTCTCCCTCATCTTAAGTGACCACCTTAAGCATTCCAGTACTAAGACAATTCACAAAAAGGTCAAGATTTTGTGATACAGACCGAGAGACTGTAAGTAGGCATCTATAACTTTCATAACAGGAATCGAAGGCTGCCAGTATTTCTGCTAACACGCTTAATGAAAGGAGCCTTAGACAAACTGCTGAGACACTGCTTTGAGTATACTACCTTTTCATTAGAAAGTCTTCTGTTACAAAGCCACCTATTGGGAAAACAGGTTAATAAGCTCTTGGCCTTGCAACACGAGCTTCATTACAAAACAATGCCTTAGCTTTCAAGTGCATCCTAGTATGGAATATGAAGCATGTTTGGTACTTGTTGAAAGTCCTCTCACGCTTTTTTCAAATCCCACTGAAAACAAAGTGAGAGTGAGGTTTAGCATGACAGACATAGACAACCAGGAAGTCTAACAACAAAACAAAATAAATGATCATATTTTCAAAACACCTTAGAGTGGTCTGTCACATTTTAAAAAGCAGTAACACACAGACTGCCTGATCCTGTTGTACAGTTTGTTGAAATTTTGTGACAAAGACAAAGACCGTTTCCTTACTGTGAGAATGAACAGGACACTGAACACAGTGTTCCTATGGTTTCCTGTGTATATTCAGAACTGCTGACATTTTAATAGCTTTCTATATACCATACGTTTTCTTCAACAGCTGACATACAAACCAACTCACTCAAGGGGTAATTTTACTACCTACCAGGCTGCCTTTTTAATAATGACATTCCCTACCTCCTAATACCAGGAAGATTTAAATCCACCCATTGTTTAAAGGGCAGGACACTGTAATCTACCATAAACTCCAACCAGACCAAAACAGCAGCAGCAGTGATTATAGCGCACTGTTCAAGCTATGGAGATTTTCTCTCTCTGGCATGCCTTCTCATTCAAGAAATAGAAATGGAAAGTCTGATTAAAATTTTGTAATATGAAATACAGCCTCATAAAACCACTTACTTCATAGCAGTCAAATGATTTTAAAATAATTGAAATTTTGAATGCACTCTGCTAAGAGTAGAATAGGATTAGTATGACAGTAGAGCAGAACCTATTATCGAGCTATTAGGAAAGCTATAGAAACATTAACCAAACACCTTGATTTGATCCTGACTATAATATAAATAAATCCATTATTGTGCACAGATAATAGCTTTTCAGTTCAATGACTGTAGTCTAGGCATTTTATATTACTTGCTCTCCTTCTGCATTCTCCTTAATGATTCCTAGGAAGTAGGTCAAATAATTAATAACAGAATGTTACATGTAGAAATAGAAATATTATTTAACTCTTAAGTGTCAAAGCTTTCTATGCAGTAACAATAAACTTTTATAGTTTTTAATTCCAGGGACTTATCTTTTAAACTGGAGTCTAAAAAGTATTATCTCTTGATGAAGAAATTATCTCTCAGATAATAGCCTGCATTTTCACTTTTTTTCTGAGTAAAGAGGATAATATTTTCAGCAATCTAGATCCAGGAGTAAAGAAGCCACTAGAGTCCAGAAAATAGAGTCAAACTACACAGACACAAGAATCTCTACTTAACTGGAATCCTTAACTGATGCATGAAATTAATACACACAAGCAAAAGAAAAATTACTGTTTAGTGTTCCTTTGATCATTCTGTTTTATCTATACAGCAGATCATGTTACAGGTTCAGGGTTGCCATATAATAAAATCATAATTCCTTGAAAATATAATTTTTCATTTAGATAGTTCAATTATACTATTCTGTTTACTATGTAAATAATAAATTTATCTCTACATAATAAAATAAGATTTTTTTTTACTTCACAATACTTTGTCATAAACATTGCTAAATACTTAATAGAGAAAAATGTTAGTAGCAGTGTTTTTCTGCATATACTTACCTTTGAAGTGGTATTTTAATAAACTAGATGAAAAAAATGAGATTGAAGCATCAGTTATTTAAATTTTTACTACATATTTTAGCCCAAATATTGGCATTGATCCACCATTTACCTAACTGTCTACAGTTTACACTTTTCTAATATGCATGCACTACGTTAGTAGCATTTCTTAGACACTGTAAGATCTTTTCTAATGGTAAAGATATTGAGAGCCTGTCTATCTCTATCATTGGAGATCTTTAAGAACAAGACAGACATATGTAAAAGGAATGATCTTCCTTTCTCAAACTAAAATGTAGACTAATACTCATGAATCTTTTGTTATTTTTCTATTGAGTATTTTTTGCTCATTAAAAATTATATCTTGTGCCACAGCAAGCTCAGGGTACAATGCAAAACGCGTTGTAACGCAAAAACAACTATCTACACCACCTTTGCTATTATGAAAGAAGCAATACTTAAAAAAATATACAAACCAGTAGCAAGTATATTCCTAAATACTTGGTATAAAGTTAAGAGTTACCTCATTTTTTAATTTCCACTTTTAGATTGATGTTGATGAAGATGTGCATTCCTGGCAAAGCGCATCTGTAAGAAGGACTTCCCCTTCCAGAAACCCAAACAAACCCAGTCCTGTAACTAACTACTTCAGAAAAACAAGTCAGAAATACTCCACACACAAAGAACTATATATTTCAAAAAGAACAAATGAGTAAGTTGTAGACAGGGTAGCAACCCTGATAAAAATATAGCTTCAAGATGCTTTTAAGACTTTTCTGATTATAAGCTAAGTAGAAGACATCAGTCAGGGCAGACATATGGCTGCATTACCCGACAGTAGCAAGAAGGCACTCAACAGGAATTGATTTTTCACTGACAAAGCATATGAGCTATCAACCCTTCTCTATCCCCTGCATCCATTTAATTGGAAAGCTTCACATCCTTCCAAAATATTGGTCATATTAAATGGGGAAGGTCTGCTGAAAAGACCTATCATAAAAAAAGTAGTATTAAAGCACCTGTGCTACTGGTACAACGTGGTTTCAACTAGACCCACAGCTTAAAATGGGAAGGCAAAATTACATTTGTCCTCTTCTCTGCAAACCAGGCCACCCCATGACAAAAAAAAAAAAAAGAAAAAAGAAAAAAGCAAAAGAAAAAAAGCCTTTTTGTTCTTCCACCGTACCTTTACCACATACCTTTCCATTACTACCATTCTAACATTTCACATCCTGCAGACAATGAGGAAGTAATTGATATAAGCATGATTTCGCAAGGCTGGCACTCAAATTTGAAGGATACTCTTCGCTGTTACGAATATCCACCACCAGCAGCTTTGGCTTGCTAGACTTTGTTTTCTTTACAGGTGTTTTGGAGTGACTAGGTCCTGTCAACTCACACAAATCAATCAGATCTTCTGCTGAAATACGTGGTGACACCTCTGCCTTCAAGTCATCCAACTTGATAGAATCCCTAGACTTTAAAAGAAGAAAATTAATATTAGAGGTGATAGAATTAGAGACACGGTGTTCTTTGAAACTTCTACTTATCTGACAGCCTCAAAGTGTTAACAACACAGTTAGACGGAAACAGATCTTTTCCTTATAACTCTGAACTAGCCCAAGTTCAACTATCCATAGAGAAAAGCTCCAGAGCAGTGCCAAATGCCTAACTGCCAATTATAGCCATATTTTCTGTTGAGTTGTTAAAAAATAAAATTGTTCAACAATCCATCCAAACTATTTTAGTTTTCCATTTGTTAATGAATTATTCACTGTAGCTGAGGAGGGTCACAAAAGTCACAGAACATTTCTCAGCATCAGAAATTAAGTAAATTGGCTAGAAAGCACTCTCTGAAAGGAGAATCTGGAAGGCCTCATGTTTGGAGCGGGAAAGATGTGTAGCAATTGGGGACTTGGACAGAAACTGCAGGGATGCCTTTGTAAGATATGGAGCTATCTAAATACCAGATATTACCCCAGCCCAAAAACTAGGCACAAATCAGGACACCAGAAATGTAATAAATAATCCTGTATTATAACCCAGAAAATTTGTTCCTTAATTTAGGGGGATGTGGGAATTGGGAGACAGGGAAACTGGGGGACAGGACAGATGAGGACACAACACCACACACCTGGTAGTACTGAAGCAACTAGTTTGATAATACTTAAATTGTATTTCATAAGAGAGCCTTCATTATGAATTATCTCAGAAATATTCCTAAGCACTAGCATTTCTTCACTTTACATGACCTTTTAAAGGTCAAGTATATTTAAATTAATAAAAAAAAATTAACCCTCCCTATTTTTGTGTATAACAGAAAATGCAGAAATCCTGTACTTTCATTAATTACCAACACATACAAATCTGTGAACTGCAGCAGAAAAAGTAAAATATGGTCACCCTAAGACAGTTGTGAAATGTTTGAAGCCATATCATAAAGAAGGAAGAACTTCTTTACTGTGAGGGCGACTGAGCACTGTAACAGGTTGCCCAGAGACATTGTGGAATCTCCCCCCCTGAAGATATTAAAAAAACATTTGGACAAAATCCTGGTTCACGTGCTCTAGGAGTCCCTGCTTGAGCAGGGTGGTTGGACTGGATGACCTTCAGAGGTCCCTTCCAACCTCAAGCGTTCTTGTGATATCTCCACCTTCCTTCAGAGATTCTTTTACACTGCTGAAACTTTTAAGTGCCATTACAACTATACTTTCACCCAAAAGAATTAGCTTGACTCAAAATAAAGCATGAGAGAAACCTCCAGCCCTCAAGAGGGTCAAACTCAGATTCTTTACAAGTAATAGGCAAAAAGATCTGCAGTAAGTCCTAGGCTTTTGTCCTTGGGAACACTGGGTTTGCAAAACTTATTTGAAGATCTAAAAGTTAAAGGACTGCTACAGTCACTCTTCCTATTGTCGCATATGCAATCATGAGACTTTAATGTCTCAGTTACCCTGGTGGAACTTCCAGAACTATATCTGTACTAAAAAGGTCCTAATATCAGTCCAATTAAATGTTGAAATTGCTTATTTTTTGAAACCTTCATATACTATGTAATTAAAAACACATTAACATGCACCATGGCGTTAAGGAGTTAATAAATTATGTTTATAGTCTTCTGCAGTAAGAACTTTTTTTTTTTCCTGTTGGTGCCATTGCCTCAATCTGAAAAAATCACAGGTAAATTTTAAAGCAACTTGTTTTCATTATGCTTTAATCCAGCAGATACAGAGTTAACAGGTTGGTTACATATGTAAAAAAAAAAAAGTTTTGCAACTCAACTTACTTGAGTTATGTACAAAGATACACTTATGGAGCTTAGTTATCTTACAACAGAACTGGTTTGTCTTGTGCTCCTGTTGAGCAGGAGGTCAAATAGAGGCAAAAGCTGTTTATAAGTAAGTCCACAGCTGTTTCTACTGAGTTATTCTGGCTTGTCAGGAGACAGGAACAAAAAGAATAACTAGGATTCGTTACAGGGAGCATCTTATGAAAGATCTCCAGACTGTTTTGTCTTATTCTTGAGGAAGAAGACCTATACTAACAAAATAGCCAACCATTTCATCATGAAGGTTTGCTTGTGCACTCACTCTGCAGTTGTTCAGAACATGAGTACAGGCATACAGAGATGGACTACAGAAAGTGGAAAAAAAGAAAGAACAAATAGAACATTAACGTGTATTACTCCTGAGAATGAATCTATACAGTGCAGTCAAAATATAGGTCTTTCTAAGAGTACCACAGTAGCAAATTTTCTTCTTTGAAAAAATATTCCACTTCTGTCATCTTGTTTTAGATTGCAGTGATCACACTGATTCAAGACCCTATGTGCTTAGAGATCATGAAAAAAATTCTAAAGAACAGGAGTAACACAGAAAAGGAAATGGAGGCATTACTAATTAGTAGTAGCCCAACAGACTGTTGTCAGCTCTAGCTTCTGTTTTGGTTTCTAAACGTACTTGTTTCTGAATTAATCTGAGGACTAGTCAAAGTTTAGAGAACATGCTAGAGAGAACAGAGAGGCATACACACATTTTCCTGAGTTATGTCCCAGAAAAAAGACTTCTTAGTCCTTCTACAGTTAGAAATACCTTTGCTGTTAGGTATTAATCTGACAGCCTTTGAGTGCAGGTTATTAAAAAGCACTCAAAATTACAAACAAAATTGGTAACTGTACTTCAGGGAATATATTAGCCCACTAAACTGCCTTTTCCATTGTATATGATAGTATGCAAAACAAAAGAACTTACAAATTGCTAGTCTCAGCACATAATTTCCTCACAAGTTCAGAATGATAGAGGTCATGAGATAAATGCTTGATTTTCTGGATAACGTATTATTTGTTTCAACAGAATAGTCAATACTCAAGGGAGACCTGTTGCTGTAAAAATAATAGAGTGACAGAGGACACGGCCAACTCCCAGTTGCTGTCTAAAGCCACTTTGCAGTTGAGTAGCTGGATTTCCCAAGTCCAAGGAAATGAATTGCAACAAAGGGGAGGAGGAGGAAGAGGAAGAACTACATCCAACTCTTCTGACAAACTTGAGACTTGTCAAATGGATACAGCAGTCCCCATCTAGGGGATTCACAGCAGACACAAGTTTGCAATATCCAAGAAAGGTGGCAGTAACGCAAAGTGGTGGCAGTAACGTTAAATGGTGGCAGTAACGTTGAGGCTGTCACAGCCCCTGAGCACCCACATCTTGCAGATTCTTCTGAACCTTGAACACTTTTTCTACTGCTCTCCACAAAAGCATTCCAGCTCTTGCCTACCACCTCAGTGACTACTCCCTTTGCCTCGGGCCAGCCAACTAAGAGGAGATGCACAAGGTGCAGGCTGACATTTTAGACAGGAGGCTTAACATTGGTCCTGACTGCTGGCCTCAATTCCCTGCTTAGGCTTTATTACGTCATTCCAGGCATTGGTTTCCAGCTGTGAAGAACCAGAAGGAACAGTAGGTGAAGAAAGGGAGAGGGCCCACTTTAACCAAATCCTTTGAGTAAGATTAGCTGCTCTCAGAAAAAGTTTATGGCACTGAAAGTCTCAGTAATTACTTACAAGTATCCAAGAAACTAAGAACAGGCAGTAATATCCAATTGAGCTTTTGATTCCAGCTAAATTGCAGGTAGTCACATCTCAGGACAGCTGCTTACAATATCCTGGTTGAATCTGTCATCTGCAATTTTGTTTGTTTGTTTTAAACAATTAAGGGATTCTAAGGATTATCGTACAACCAAAAATTTCCATGCCAGTAATAGTTATTAGTCTATGGGGGGGTACAAACAGGACAATTAAAAAGAAAAATAGCCGGGATAATCACTGGGAAAAGGTTAAGTCCAAACAGTGTATCACATATATAAGACACTTGTTTCTTCCCTTCAATTATCCTTCTGCTGTGATCTATTTACTCTTTTCCAAGGCAGACAAGGTACATAATTTCTAAAAAAAACCACCCCAAAACAACAACCACAAAAAAAAACCCAAATCCCACCCCCCCAAAAAAACCCACCACAAACCAACAACAACCCTGCCTTACTCTTTCTTAAAAAAGCAAACTCTCTACTTTAAGCACAGTGCCAGTTACACACTTGTGTAGCACTCCAACAGTTTAGTCAATATACTCATGGTTTTACAGGTAGTGTAAGAAACTGTATACTGACTACAGCACTGAAATTGAGAACTGTGCTCACACATAAACTGCCTGCCATTACTTAGAAAAGGTAAGAATTATCAGTAAGATACACACACATTTTCACATACACAGAAGTCTACACGTGATACTGAGCTTACAACTTAAGTTGCTTTGCTTGTTTTCCTGCAAAGAAAAGACTTATTCTAGCATATCTTTATTTCAAGCATGAATCTTGCTTTAGACTAGTCAGCTATAAGAAGTTGTTCATCAGGGGAGACTGCTTCATCAGCAGGCTGTTAACAGGAAAAAGTACTTAAGCTGAAGTCTGAGGTCTAATTGACTCCCAGAAGTTTCTCTGACAGCACCCTAAATTCTTTACTTTCAGAGTACTGATTCTTCTCACCCCATTAATTTTCAAATAGGCCTGGGAATTGCTAAGCTATATGCATTTACTGATTAATAAGAAGAAATAGGCATTAAGAATCTATTTTTTAAAAAATATTAGGAATTAAAGCTGCTTAAGCATCCTCAAATTAGAAGTCAAGCTTCAGAAAGATTAAAGCACTCCAAAACATGAGGCTGGCACAATCATAGCTGCTATCTATTTTTCCATTAGCTTGTAATCTCTTACAGGCATTTCATCCTGGCTATTAAATGAAGATACACTTTTTTTTTTTTTCTTTTTGTGAGAAAATGAGCAAGTATCTTTAGTTCT